CGGGATTTCTGGAATTGAAACTCATGACTGAATACTAGAGTAAAAATGTAATTCCAGTAGTTTATTGGGTGGAGATTGGGAAAATATGTGTGTGTGTTGTGTACATATATATATATATATATATGCACAATCTGACCTTAGAACATATTTATCTGGAATAGTAGGTGCTGTGTGGCTTAGAGCTCTGGGGTCGAGTTCCCGGTTTTATCGAGTGAGGTAAGTAACTTATGGTAATGCCTTGGATTTAAGGTAAAGCTTTTAAAAGCAAATTTCTGATGGTTTTGAAATGGTGGCGGGACTAAACCCGTTTTACACGAGCATGATTGATTTGAAGTGAAATTTTTATGCTTTTCATTAAATTGAGGATGCTTACTTGGAATTTAATTGACTGTCTTGATGATTTGAAAGCGATTGTGAATTGTGATTTTCTTGTTAACTTCTGTCTGTTTTGTCTTCGATATGGTCATGTTATTCGTGTGCTTGCTAGTGGGAGGTTTATAACACTGGCTATGACTTATGGAGGAGACGTCTATTTCGTTCCCGTACTATATCCATTTTTCATGATTATACTTGTTGGCATATTATGAGTTTAATTACGGGTTATTCATATTTTACTTACTGAGTTATCTCACCTCATTTCCTCGTCCACTATTTCAGGTAATGTGACTTGAGACGCGGGAAAAAAGGGAAGTGACGAGTTAAATGGCTAGCTATTGTATTTGGATATAGATTTTGAGTTTAGATTATTTTTTGTAAGTTAGATTCATTATTTTGAGTTTAAGTCGTGTTGGACATGGAATTATTTTGAGATATTTGACATAGAATTATTTTGAGATATTTGATTTAAGTTATATCAAATGTGAATTGGATAAGTTTTGAGCTTTGTGCATTTGTGGGACCCGTCTCATATGTGTACGGTATTTGTTACACTTTTGGATTTGGGTTCTGGGGCGTGACACGGTTCTCCTTGAGTAAGATCTCGAGTTCGAATCTTGTGAATGGAGAAACAAACGCTAAAAGAATTTCCCTCCTAATAAAGTCTGACGTGATTTGATTTTTTATTAATTGAAATTCAATATGATTATTGGATATCGCAAGATTAATACAAAAAAATATGAGTGCGGTAGTTGTGTCTTACTTTAAAAATAAAAAAAATAAAAAATACAGTAAATATTTAAATCCGGAAAATCAAGGGTTAACAGAAAAACTAACGTCGTTAGTGGTGTCACACCAACGGCTTCATGGTAAGGATCCCAATAACATGTTTTCTTGAGTAGAGGGACCCCAAACAACAATTACTCAGGACGTTAGTGATTGAAAAATCAAAGTATAAGGACTATAAGTGGATTTAACCCGGAAAGAAGTGTTATGTCATGACATGTAACACTCAAGTGACAAGGAAAGGCACTTGAAATTAGATTTAAAATTTTCAATTTTAAATGATTCGGCTATGTGAAAAAATTGAGAAAATCTATACAACTCTCTCAACTTATTATATAGCCCAATTTTAATCAATGACATTCTTTTGCTGAGGCAAACACGAGGAAAATAAAACAAAAAGAAAATGACAAAGAAAAAGAAAATGACAAAGGAACCTAAAACTTCTTCGAAGTCTCAAATCCTTATGGTCAATGAATGCTTCAAGGTCCCCACATGAAGCACATGTTCTCCCATTGCAACTTTTCTGCTTCCAACCTCATCAGAGACACTCAAATCCTTGCAAACATCCACGTTAAATCTCACCATCGCTTCCCCTTTTCCACTCAAGAAAACTTTCTCGAAACTTATCAAGTGTTTCTGGGGAGAGTTGTGCACGGATGGGGGACTAGAGAACAAGAAAACCGTATGGCTTCCGCTTATTAATCCTGTGTTTTGAACTTTCATGTGTATATCAAAAATTGAATTTTGACAACGCTGTTCAAAGGCATCAATCGATTTGCAATCTGATGAGCGACAAACATGATCTTCCTCTAGGGGGATCGATACCAATTTCGGTGCCTTAACTAATTGGTGATTGAATGTGGAATAGCTTAATCCATCTCCAAAAGAATAGACAGTATCACCGGTATAAAATCTGTAAGTCCTACCAGGATAGCCATTAGCAGTATCTGGTCTCATGTTCATGTTTGTCATTGGAACTTTGTCA